TAACTACTCGTACACTTAGTCAAGTATTGTAGCTAGTTAACCAAAGGTCTAACTTGTTACATTACAATATATAATAAGCAGTCTAAGTTTTTGAAAAAATCAATTTAATTTATAGAAATTCTGTGATTCGTATGTGGACCTAATTTATAGGTTTACTACCATTAAAGAGGACCTTGTATATGATCTTTCATGGTAATATTATTATTAATTTGAAGAATGCATTTTCAATTTAATACTACAGTCTTGCTAGTTTAATACTTTGTTTATTTACTTGATAACCTGTTATTTCAAGTTTTAATAGTTTTAAAAAAATCTGATGACGGGTTTTGCCTTGGTGGCACCCACATAAAATTACTTCACTTTTAGAAGACACCTTAATTAGTCAATAATTATCATTCTATTCTCAATTTAGAAATGACACAAATGTATCTATATAACAAAGCTATAAAAACTCTATTTTTATTTTCTCCCGTAAACACGTAATACAATTTCGATCAATTAAAATTCATATCCGAATCAGAGCTTAAAATCCTATAGTAATTTTCTGGCCTGCAGCCTATTGATTGAAGTGTTTTTTTTTTAATTCATTAAAATCAGTGTAATATAAATCTTATTGTTTACTATATAACCAATTAATTACTAATATACTAAAGATCAAGAATGACACTTTTGAATGGTAGGCATTTCAATATAGCGTTTTAAGCCCTGATCCGAATTTGGTGGCTGAGTTTAAAAAAATACATTAAATCGCAAGATTTTATAATCTGCATAAAAGTTTATTTAATTTTTAAGTGCAAAAAATAATTGTTCTCTTCCTGCATCTTCTTTTTACAGATTCACTGCTATATATTTTTCTACAAATAACTTTTAAAATATGACACATTCACTACGTAAGAATAAATCAAAGAGCAGAAGTCGTTATAACTATCGTTCTAGTAGTTATCAGTCCCATTATAAGTCTAGATATGAATCTATAAGTAATTGGTCTGAAAGTCATCACTCTAGATCCAAAAGTCCTTATTCTGAAAGTAATCAGTCTGAAAGTCATCACCTTAGATCTGAAAGTTCTTATTCTAAAAATAATCAGCCTGAAAGTTATCACTCTAGATCCAAAAGTCCTTATTCTAAAAGTAATCGGCCTGAAAGTTATCACTCTAGATCCAAAAGTCCTTATTCCAGAAGCAATTAGTCTGAAAGCTATCATTCTAGATCCAAAAGTCCTTATTTCAGAAGTGAAAAGAATAAATTAATGTTTACAAGTCCTCGTTCTAAAAATGATCAGTCTGAAAGCTATCATTCTAGATTCAAAAGTCTTTATTCCAGAAAGCAATCGGTCTAAAAGCTATCATTCTAGATCCAAAAGTCCTTATTCCAGAAGCACTCGGTCTGAAAATAATAAATTAATGTCTACAAGTCCTCGTTCTAAAAACAATCGGTCTGAAAGTCATCGTCCAAGTTCCAAAAGTCTTTATTCCAGAAGCAATCAGTCTGAAAGCTATCATTCTAGATCCAAAAGTCCTTATTCCAGAAGCACTCGATCTGAAAATAATAAATTAATGTTCACAAGTCCTCGTTCTAAAAACAATCGGTCTGAAAGCTATTATTCTAGATCCAAAAGTCCTTATTCCAGAAGCAGTCGGTCTAAAAGCTATCATTCTAGATCCAAAAGTCCTTATTCCAGAAGCATTTGGTCTGAAAATAATAAATTAATATCTACAAGTCCTCGTTCTAAAAATGATCGGTCTGAAAGTCATCGTTCAAGTTCCAAAAGTCCTTATTCCAGAAGCACTCGGTCTAAAAATAACAAATCCATATCTAAAAGTCCTTATTCTAGAAGTGATCTGTCTGAAAGTCATCGTTCTAGGTTCAAAAGTCCTCATTCTAAAAATTATCAACCTGAAATTCGGCATCGCATATCCAAGAGCCCTTGTTCTAGAAATTATAGATCTGAAAGTCATCGTCCCAGATCTAGAAGTCCTCGTTATAAAAATAATTGGGCTGAAAATCACTCTAGCGAAGGATATAAAATTGATAAATTATTAATTCGATTTATTTACATATACATTAACAATTCTTATTCATATAACTATAGATTTCAATTAAATTTATATGTAAAATCTTCAAAGCCAACTGCATTAGAAAAAAGCTCTAGTTCTAGTTTAAAGACAACCAGACGAAGACATAGTTCACCAAGAATAACTAGACAAAGGTCTAGTTCATCAAGAATAAATAGATGAAGATTTGGTTCACAGAGAGCTAGACGAAGTTTTAGTTTTAGTTCACTAAGAACTAAAAGTTTGAGTTCTCCTGAGTACAATCAAGATGATAACGTACGACCAAAATATTTATTTATGAATGACCTATCTAAAGATCTTAAAAAAGCTTTGAGAGTAAACTATATATTATTTTTTTTTCTTATATATTTATATGTTAAATTGAAATTTGTGTCAGATTAAATTTAAATACTAAGTTTTAATAGAAGGTGTTAACAGCATGATAAATATCTTAATTGATGCAGATATTAATTTGATGCACTATATATATATATTAATAATATAAATTTTTTAATATGCAGCGTCAAATATTTTGGATCATTGAAAGAATGCCAGAAGAAAGTCAATTAAGTTTAGACGAGACATTCGAAGATCAGCTCAATCTTGTGAACCATACAATAGTGTCCGTTGTTATGGAAGCATTAGATTCGACCGTATTTCTAGTATCCGAAGGTATAGTGTATCATATGATCCATACTAGACATAAAAATCAACAAGAGGAATACAAAAGAAAGTGGCGACCGGTGGCTAACCAGGATAAAATGAAGAGGCAAAGGCATTTTCACAGTTGAAGAAAAGATGTAAGTAGTAAAACAATTCTACTTAGTTATTTTTATCTTTACTATTTTTGTTATATTTTGAAATTATAGAAAAGAACGAACTGAACCAATATGATCAAGCATTTGATAGAAATCGGAGACCCATTGATTAAAATGTTCAATGAAGACGAACTTTGACCAATAAAGGAGAGATCTGTGTATCATTCACCTGAGGCTTCAGAAACGGATGAAGAAAATCCCTCTGGTGAAAGGAAGGTCGTCATAAAGGATTTAAAATGGCGTTCGACTACGGTAAAATTATTAATATCGAATTTAAATGTGTATAAGATTTAAAAAAAAATTAATTTTATATTCATATTGCAGCTACGATCTTTTTACGTGACTATGTTGACCATATATTTATTGAGTCATCCAAAGTTCTAAAGAGGCAGAGTCGCATTTATGATACAAGCTTTTACAATAAGGAACAAAGAGCTCCATTTAAAGCTCCAAAATGGACGATTAGTGGGTATAATGGTTCATTAAAAATGGTGATGCAAAAGGCCTGCAAATGACATTCAAATAGCAATTTCTCAACACAGCCAATTACATCCAAACATCTAATGCAACTAAAATATCCTCTTCAACCAAATCATCTAATAATAGAATGTCGTCAAAATCTTAGAGCATTAATAATTTCATAATACATCTAAGCAAATTATTAATATTATCATACATATGTAATCATTTTATAACAATTTTGGAAAATGTAACAGATCAGCTAAAATGCCATAAATGCCATCTGCTTAGACATTTTTGCTATATGTAGATATGCAATATAATAGTTTTTAATTATGCAATATTATGGGTGTATATGTAGTAATTGTTTCTATAATTTATATGAATGAGTGAATCAATTTTCTCTACGATAATTTCAAGAAAAAGCGAGTTTCGTAAATCTCGTATATAACTTGTCTGCAATATTCATCATAATACGTACTCTCACCAGATGCACTTATAATTGATCGATCAGCACAACTTAGTAGTTAATAGTCTGAATCATCGCTCTGAGTCGAGATATTAGTATCCTTAAATATAAGTTAAATTGATACATATAGAAACTATTTTTGTATTTATAATGATTCAAAGCTATTAAGCTAATTTTTTTTATTAACCAAAGTCACCTTTATCATAATATAATTATCCTATGCGCAGTTTTTTAGAATCAGTCTTTTTATCGCACAAGTTTTGGTAATTTTTCATCAAGTATTGTTAAGAACTTTTCAAGTCCCTTAATTCTGCACTTTGATGTTTATCTACACAGTATATAGGCATAAATAATTTAACCTTAATAATCGATATTCATCTTCAAGACTATTCGGTTTCAATGTGAACGTTGGGAAGTGTAGTGCTGTGTCGGAAATGTTGCAAGGTCAAAATATGGATAACACACTATACTAACTAAATTACTTTATCAACTACTATAATTATTTTAACCAAGCCCTAATATTGTTAAGGCTTCGATCGAAGCGTGAAAAGACTTGGTCCAAATAATCGATTAATTGGTTTTATAGAGATAGTGTTGGACTCAGATAAGCATTCTTTTATTCTTCATTTAGGCAATTCGCTTCTATTACTTTTATTAATATTTTATTTTCTTTCATTAGTGGTACTGCGGCTGTGAATTCGATTCATAATGTTATGTAGTCTCAGATCACAATCAGTGTTAGAAATTGTATATTTATATAGAAATTTTTTTGAATTTCTAAAATCCCTGTATCGCCATATCAAATTAGCTAATAATTGCATTAACAAAAACTTAACTCCCTCAATCATATATTATCTGATTCTCTGATACTAATCCCCGTACCCTTTGGCCTAATTTTGAACAATTTTGTCCAAGATCGTTTATTTCGCTAACATTTTTCGTATTATATTATCTTCAGGGTTATGTTTTTATTTGAACATTCAATTACTATCCAAACACTTCGTTTGCACTAATCTCTAGTGCTTTATTAAAATCCACAAGTTTTACTCACTCTTATCCCCTACCAAGATAAGTTAACCTGATTCTCTAAAATTAATTTTTTCATCTAAATTTACATATTTCTAACTATTTAGCAATTTCAAACAATTTATTTGAGTCAGCAGATAATCTATTTGAAAATAAGTTTTCACCCGATTAAATAATGCAAATATGTGTATTCAGATCTGCAATGGGTTGCGACCCAAATTTTCTCCTGAAACTTCTAAATGCTATATCAAATTAGCAAAGAAAAGTATAGATCCTAATCCTCAAAAGAGACATACATCTAAATATA